AGAAATGCAAACCACCCCTCTGTGCTCACGCACCACTTGCAGGAAATGGATCATTTTGTCACATGGCCTGCTGTGTGGCATTTAACAAAGCCTACAGCAAACAGCAACTGCATTACTTGAGTTTTTTCCAATGGAAACCATGAGTGCTCTTACAGTACCTTTATCATGACATTGACAGAGACATCAAAGCAATATTCATGGCATACAAATCCTTGTCATCAAAACTGTTGGGTAATTTAAGTCCAGATATTTAGTAAGTTACAATGATCTCATGCTTAGTCATATGCCAAGGTGGTTGCCCTCCAAAATATTTTAATTGATAATGAATGTACAGATGCTCATCACATGTATGTACTGTATATGAAGTGAGTATGAGTATGATCTGTTGTAGAGTTGAATGTAAGGACTGAGTAGATTGTATTAGATTAGCATCTCTTGGTCTCGCTCTATGATCACCAAATTTGCCCTTGTGCACTTTCATTTTGCCAACCCTTGCAATGTTTTTTCTTTCCCACTCATTCAACTCAAAAAGACAATGTGGCCGTTAGTAATACTAGGAAACAAGCTTTAGCAAACTTATTTACCTGCACTAAACTGACCAGGAAACCAAAGAGCACTTTCTTTCATCATGTGTTATTTCCGCTCTTACATCTTTCAAAGCCATTTTTTTACAGATCCAACAAGCAACCAACATGTGCTCGTTGCAACCAGAAGTAGTTAAATACCCTCATTAATTTTCATTTGTGGTCAGGTCAGAGAAGTGAGAGAAATAGGTCACAATGTCCTTGTCTGTACAATGCTAGTAAAACAAATACTAAACTTAAAACAACTTGGGAAACAATCTGATCAAGACACAAACTGAGCCCCAGTGCTTTGCATTGAATTTGCTTCAGAGATGCAATTAGTCTCCTCACTCTGGTCCTTAGACACATTTACAGACTTCTAAATTGCAGAAAGAAAAACGCTGAATCATGATAATGCAGGTAAAACAGACAAAGCAGGATGTGAAAGCACATACTGTAAAGAATATGCAAGTAGAAAGAAAACAATGATTCATTTTTCAGGCTGAGCAGTGTGGAGCAGTGTTTCAGGATTTCTCTGTAAACTATTTTGAACAAAAAAAACATCAGCCAAAATGTTAGATTCATAATCAAAATAATGAAGGTAACCATTACTTCAATTAATTAGTAATAGCTAGGGAAATACTGCGTTTGTGCCTCATTTGTAACTTCTCCGTGTACAGCACAGTGGGGCTTAATGCTGCTGACTCACAATGTTGCTTGTGACTTGAGTTTGATTCCGTGCTTCTGTGTCTTCTGTGTGGAGTTCACATGTTGTTTGCATGGGTCTTCTTCAGGTTCAACAGTTTTCTACTGCTTTCCAAACACATGCATGCTAGTTTAATGTGTGTACCGTAATTGCACTGGTTTGTATACATGCCCTGCAATATCCTGGGATCCCATCCTGTAACCATGTATCCAGGACAGGCTCCTCATTCTTGCAACCCAGGAATGCCTGTCTTTCATTATCTTCCTTCCCTGTCTTTTTTCAAGCAAACTGTGTCCCTATTGGCCGCAGCAGACAATCTGTCATTTCACCAAACATGGAATAAATTCATAATGATCTGGCCATACTGACAGAGCAAGACTATGTTTAAACTGGAGAGAAGGTCAGAGTGAAACTACAAATCTTCTCTTAGCAGAGTGAACATTTTCAGTCAGTTCTGTGCATTGCCTATGTTTTAGCCCACACCTGACGAAGTGGGAGTCTGACATTGGCTGGTTTGACTTACAGGGAAGGCGTCATGCCCAGAAACCTGCACATGTGCGTTAATGCCAGTGCTCCCTCAATCAGAGCTTACTCCCCTTCTAGCCACAGTGGAGCTCTCAGAGGAGAATGTGTTTGAGAGGCGTGCACA